GTAAGGATCTGTGCATTGTCCAGCAAAGATTTCAATGCCCAAGAAATTTCATCACAATCCTACAAGTGCTTCGCAATGATAGGCCTGTAATTGTCTTGAGAGGGTGATTTGAAATAGATGTTTTCATAAGTCAGATCCGTATCAAGCAAGGCTGTGTGAGAGTTCCCATGTTACTTATGATCTACATGGCAATGGCTATTCACCTCATCAAAGACCAACTGTCTCTGGGGTGAGAATTAGTACTGACTAGAGGGATAATTCTTTAAGCCCTCAGTCTCTTTTGTGTCAAAACAAGACTGACCACCAGAAATACACATGACCAGTGGATGGCTGCGGTGTTATTGTTACGCTGTACCAGATTTCTCAGCCATTTTCCATCAACGGGTCAGCCAAATGATCCACTTCTCGTATTGTTGAAGGAACGACTATGGAAATGATGAAAACTTTGCAAACTTTGGAGGCAACATCATTCAAAAGGCCATCATTGACAAGGTGATCAAACACCATCAGCTGACACCAGCTCAGCCTTCTTCAATCTATGGAGGGAGTGTCTGACAAAAAAGACCTCCTTTAGTCAACAAAAATTCTAGTATACCAAACAGTCAACATCATCATACTCCTGTAGTGCAGTGAGACTGGGTTGTTTATCAGTGACACACGACAGTCCAAGAGAAACTACATCAACATCCAATTCTCCAGATTCAATAGGAGGACCATGAAATAAATGCTGGTATCCTTTCTGAAGCCAGTTCCTCAAGTATTCAGGTAATGTTCCATGAAATCACTCTAGATGAACTGGATGGTGCGCCCAGATAGCCAAAATCCATATTCCCTGCCAAGCGCTGCTTCCAGGAGCCAACACTCCAGGTGAGGACAAAGAAATACTACAAAGACACACTGAAGCTCTGCTGGAAGCATTTACAAAATGACACAGAGGAGCTCACTGCCAATCGTTCAAGTCAACGGTAACTTGTCCATCCAGCTACATGATGTTTCTAATCCAAATCCCTTAATAGTAAGGTAGAATTGCAGCAGAGGAGGAAAGAAAACTAATCTTGCGTTCCGGATTTCACAGTCTCGTGAGACATTCTGTCCGTGTTCGGAAAGATTTGATGGTCGGGCATGCAGACCAATGGCAGACATTCACCAATCCTGAACAAACACCACGCTCGATTCAAGGCACAGCCATTGACAAACCCATCAATTCAGTCACTTAACAAACACTAATCCTCAGAATTAGTAATTTGGCTCAGTTTCAAAAGTATCAGATTGCGTCTTAAACGCAAAGGAAACTGGTACATTGATTCAATCATCTGTCTTCTTTTGAACAAATGTAACTGGCCTCTTTTATTGGGAAGATTTGCATGTTGGACATGATTTGCATGATGTACAAACCCAGATGGCCAGATTGCATTTCTAACATCTGTTTATTGTAGCTAATTGTAGACATATATGCTGAACTTGTTCGGGAGTTTATGAAACAAGGTTTGGTACATGGGAACAAAAGCAGGGAGCTTAACAACAGAGGAATTTTTCAGATGAAGTTTGATCTAAAAATCAAAGCCTGGTTGAGTACAAAGAGAAATTGAGCTCCCTGCACTGTAAGAGAGTGTTGTGATTTGTTTATCTAATGGATAATTGAATAGAGTTGGAAGCCAGTTTTCCAACAATAGCTGACCCATTACCGATATTCTGACAATTTATTTTTTTATGTTCTTCTCCTACTTGTCAATTGTTAGGTTTCCTGGTGTGGTTTATTTGTAAATAAACATGAGGGTAAACTACATGGGATTATGAGGATATGCAAGGATTCCTTAGAATTTTCTGTGCTCTTCTCTCAAAGTTCATGTGGATTTAGCAGGGGAAAACCCCCATCCTTCATCTGAACATCACCGTTACATTTTTCAGAGATAGTAGGAACTGCCGATGCTGGACAATCTGCGATAACAAGGTGTACAGCTGGATAAACACAGCAGGCCAAGCAGCATCAGAGGAGCAGGAAAACTGACGTTTTGAGTCTGGACCCTTCTTCAGAAATGGGGGAGGGGAAGGAGGCTCTAAAATAAATAGAGAGAGTGAGGCGGTGATAGAAGGTGGATAGAGGAGCAGATAGGTGGAGAGAAGTCGGACAGGTCAAGGAGGCGGGGATGTAGCCAGTAAAGGTAAGTGTAGGTAGGGAGTTGGGATGGGGGTTGGTCAGTGAGGAGGGAGGGGGCGGGTAGGTGGGAGAGAAGACGGACAGGTCAAGGAGGCGGGGATGAGGCTAGTAGGTAGGAAGTGGAGGTAGGGGTTGGTCAGTGAGGTGGGAGGAGCGGATAGGTGGGAGAAAAGACAGACAGGTCAAGGAGGCAGGGACGAGATGGACTGGTCTTGGGATGAGGTCGGAGGTGGGGAGATTTTGAAGCTTGTAAAGTCCACATTGAGACCATTGGGCTGCAGGGTTCTCAGGCAGAATATGAGGTGCTGTTCCTCCAGCCTTCGGGTGGCATCGTTGTGGCACTGGAGGATGCTCAGGATGGACATGTCGTCCGAGGAGTGGGAGGGGGAATTGAAGTGGTTCGCGACTGGAAGGTGTTGTCGTTTGTCATATATCAACATATATCAACATCTAGGATTTCAAAGGGGACCAGGCAGGAGGTGCGGACAATTGTTTTTTTAATTCTAGTGGTAGGGATACAATTGGATAATTATGAGTTTCTGAGGCATTTCTGCAGAGAATGACTGTCAGAGTTTCCAGATTATTGAGGGGTATAGCTCCCATAGGAACTAGTCATAGACAGCTCAGAAAAAAGCCAAGACCACAACAGTCTCACTGAGAACAAAGAAAGGCTGTTAAGAATGCTCCCATCTGCCTACTCATTGAACAGTGCAGCTTCAGTGCGTTCCTCTATCTTCTTCAGAGGGCTTTTGTCTTCATAGAACTTTACAATGTTTGAGGTGAGTGCAGATCAGTGAAATTGAATGATGGGTCATGTTCAAAGACCAAATTGGACTGCTAAAGAATCCTGGGGGGCCAGATCACTGGCAAGGTCACAGGCAGGAGGCTGAGAGAAGTGATTAAACAGACACAAGTCAACCATTCCCAGGCAAATAAAATAGTTTGCCCTTCTTGATATTGTTCCACCTGAGCAATTAATCCGAATAACTTAATTGGGCAGGAGTCAAAATAAAGTGAGTTTCCTCTTGGTAGGTTAAGCTTTTGCTGTTAAGTTCTCAGAAGTTTGTAGGCAGGTTGGACTTCCAAATCTTTACCTGTTCTGCATTTATTAGCAGGTCATGAATACTGATTAATACTGTAGCCCACCAGAATTATGTTGACAAGGACAGTTTTGCTCGCCAAAACCAAAAAACACATCCGTTCGCAAATCAGCCAAACATAAGAGGGATGAACATGGGATGGTAGATTTATTCCTCCAAGTTCCAAAGAGCAAATCCATCTTCTGTTCCTTGGCTCCATCACAACCAAACCATTTCTTTGTGCATCTGATAGAGATGCCTGGCACCAAACTTCTTGTGTTGTAGTGCTGTGGCAACTTTCCAACACTAACGACCACTCATAGGAGCATGAAGCATTCAGTAGACAGTGGTTATTACCTTGGCAGAGTACAGCAGATCTTTCATCCTCTTGTGACAATGGAGCTACATTCTTTTGTGCTACACATGGGCACTGAACTCTTCAGCCACCTTTATTCTAGCTGGGGTCATCAGCATCTCTAAGGAATCATAGAATCCCTACAGTGTGGAAAGAGGCCATTTGGCCCATCGAGTCTGCACTGATCCTCCAAAAAACATCCAACCCAGACCCAGCTCCCCCACCCTATCTACGTAACCCTGTATTTCCCATGGCTAACCCACCCAGCCTGTACATCCTGGACGCTATGGGGACAATTTAGCACGGCCAGTCCACCCAACCCCTGCACATCTTCGGACTGTGGGAGGAACCCGCAGGAAACCCACGCAGACACGGGGAGAATGTCCACACAGACAGTCGCACAAGGTGGATTCGAACCCGGGTTCCTGGTGCTGTGAGGTAACCGTGCTAACCGCTGTGCCACTATGCTGCACCTCCCTTCTCTCCAGGGCAGGTTTCGGGAGAACCTGTAAGCTGGCATCACTGAGGCATGGCACAGCTTTTTCGCCCGGTCTCTGATATCTCCAGGGGTGGGAGTGGCTGATGAGCAGAGGTCGAGTGATTGCAGAGAGTGATGTGGTGTCCAGGTGCCTTTTAAACATGGTGCCCAGAACGTTTTTGCTGGGTCTGTACCCACTGCGTACAAAATTTGGCAGTTTCTACACTCATGATGAGTAGGGAACGATGTAATTGCGCAGGGAAACTCCGCACTGCAGTTGAGCACAGGAAACTTTCCACCTTTCACTAACGTCCTGACGTACAGACACACAAGAGAAAATTTCGCTCACAGTAACCGGGCACAGACTAAATCAGCACTTCCTTCCTTCTCATACTGCCACTTTGAGAATTTCTCTGACAGACCATGCATTCAAAATCAAAATGTTGTAGACGCTGGACATCTGAAGCAAAAATAAAAGGTGCTGGAAATAATCAGCATCGATTGAGTGAAGCAGGGGAGGTGACGGCCTAGTGGTGTTATCGCTGGACTGTTAATCCAGAGACCGAGATAATGTTCTGGGGACCTTGGTTGAATTCCTGCCACGGTGGTGGAATTTGAATTCAATAAATGCCTGGAATTAACAATCTAATGATGACCATGAATCCACTGCCACTTGTTGGGGAAAAACCCATCTGGTTCACTAATGCCCTTGAGGGAAGGAAAACACCATCCTTCCCTGGTCTGGCCTACATGTGACTCTAGACCCACAGCAATGTGGTTGACTCTTAACTGCCCTCTGGGCAATTAGGGATGGGCAATAAAATGCTGCTGTAGTCAGCAATGCCCTCATCCTGTGAATGAATAAAGGGAAAAAAAAACATTTTGGATGGATGAACTCTCGCAGTAATGTCTAATGTTTGATAAACTCACATTTTACGCAGGTTTGGTAGCTTCTTAAAGATACCTGTTGCCTCCAAGACAGTTAATTCGTTGTCATTCAATCGCCTGAATCACAAAAAAAAGAGATTATTGAAAATGGGGGAGGTTAACACTTGATACACTAGAATTGTGAAGAAAACTCCAACAGAGAAAAACACGTATTTTTTAAAAATAAAAAGGCCTTCTGATCAAGCACTCGTAAATTATGGTCTAAAATAAAATCTCTAAATTTCAGCCCTTGCACAGCCCACACAGGAAAAGATACCAGTGTGTCACTTGACTCTGTCAGCCATGTTTCGGTCCTATTGATGGCTTTGTTCCTTTTCCAACTTGCAGTCAGACTTGTTGAATCTGGAGTTAGCCCCACTTATTTCTCAAGTAAACCTGCACTCGCTGCATTTTGTATCAGAATCCTCTCAAATAAATCTGCTAGTCACACCACAAGTTCCTTTCAGCTTGAACAAATGCGCACGGGGCAGAGCATGGCTAATCCTATCTCTCTCATGCTGTCAGTAAACCCAACCTCTAATCTCACCCATTATTTCCTCCAGTTTTTGCCTATTTGCCTGTAGTGTTGCGGGATGTGTAGATTAGGTGGGTTAGAGGGGGATGGGTCTGGGTGGGATGCTCTGAGGATCGGTGTGGACTTGTTGGGCCGAAGGGACTAGTTCTACACTATAGGGGTTCTATGATGATCTATGATGATGAAGGTTTGGACATGGTTTATAGGTGTTTGTGACTCAAGACGCTTTTTAGAATTGCAGAATCCCTACAGTGCAGAAAGAGATCATTCAGCTCATCGAGTCTGCACCAACTCTCTGAAGAGCATCCCACCCAGGCCCAATACCCCCAACCCCTCACTTCCCATGGCTAACCCACCCAGCCTGCACATCCCTGGACACTCTGGGGAAGTTTAGCATGGTCTATCCATCTAACCTGCACATTCCTGGACACTATGGGGCAATTTAGCATGGCCAATCCATCTAACCTGCATATCCCTGGACACTATGGGGTAACTTAGCATGGCCAATGCACCTAACCTGCACATCTTTGGATTGTGGGAGAAAACTGGAGAACCCGGAGGAAACCCACGCAGACACAGGGAGAATGTGCAAACTCCACACAGACAGTCGCCCGAGGCTGGAAACAAACCCAGGCCCCTGGCGCTGTGAGGTCGCAGGGCTAACAGCTGAGCCACCGTGCTGCCAAATGTAAATACTAGTTAAAAAGTTATTGGCAGGGCAGGTTTCAAAAGGAACGATATCACATCAAAGAGCCTTGTGCATGACTCATTCAGATCCAACTAAAACTAAAAATAGCTATATTTTCTCCCTGCCCGGTCTAATAGTGCAAGAATTTCAGATTGTCATCCTGGCGAGATAGGCTGGTTGTGATTCTCAGGTTCTCTCAAGCTCTCTTTTGTTTAATCAAAATGTTCTCCAGTAAGTTCAGTGATATTATTGTCAATTCAATCTTGTCTGTTAATTTGTTAATATTCCAACAGTTTTAATTCTCTTCTCTCCTCAAAGCATCCCTCAGCAGAGGTGACACTTTATACTCTACAGTTGTTGCTCGCTTGGGACAGCAATACTCTAAGTTGGCCTCACACTCAAGACTCACAGTTCAGTGGCGTATTCTGGGACATGGCTGGGTATCCTGGTGAGCTTCTGGTTGGAGCAGTCCACGACGGTGCCCTCACAGCGGCATTTCTCAGGGCAAACCAGGTCCATGAAGCAGTCATTACTTAGCTTAGTCCGGTAGTCATCTGATCCTGTGCATAACATCGAGCACAACCAATTAGATGCATTCGTGAGCATTCCTCTTTCTGCTCTTGATTTGATATGACCTTCAACTCTGCTGACACACAAGCCTTATAGCTAACAAGCAACACCCTGGGCTGACTTGGCGACACATTGCGTCAGAACACCAAATGTGTGGTGACCAGACGTGCCCCAGTGTAGAATGAGGCCATTCAGCCCACTATATCTGCTCTGACTTGTTAAATGAGCATCGTTACCTCGTGACAATTTCCTGCTTTCACCCCATATCCTTACATGTTGTTTTTATCCAAAATATCATCCAATTACCTCTTGAATGCCTCACTCATGAATGGCATCCCTGATCGGCCAGATAACGAGCTCCTGTTCACCTACAAATACACCAAAACAATGTGCCTCGTGATGTTATCACTAGACTATTAATCCAGAGACCCAGGTAATGTCCTGAGGACCCGGGTTCAAATCCCACCATGGCAGACGGTAGAATTTGAATTCAATAAAAATCTGGAATTAAGAATCTAATGATGACCGTGAATCCATTGTCAATTGTCGGAAAGAACCCATCTGGTTCACTAATGTCCTTTAGGGAAGGAAACTGCCATCCTTACCTGGTCTGGCCTACATGTGACTCCAGACCCACAGGAGTATGGTTGACTCTTAACCGGCCTCTGGGTAATTAGGGATAGGCAATAAATGCTGCCTAGCCAGCGATGCCCTCATCCCGTGAATGAATGTTAAAAACCCTGATGGATAGCTGAAAACCTGCTGGTTCACCTGGTCTATTCCACAAGTGACACCATCTCTCCTGCGCTGTCATTTCACTCCAACTGGGGCTTCAATGAAAGCGACAATAAACTGGTTTCAATATTCCCACAGACTGTACACAGTGATGGCCTAGTGGTAATTTCACTGGACTGTTAATCCAGAGACCCCGATAATGTTCCGGAGACCCGGGTTTGAATTCTGCCACAGCAGATGGTGGAATTTGAATTCAATAAAATATCTGGAATTAAGAACTTAATGATAACCGTAAATCCGTTGTTGATTGTTGGGGAAAACCCCATCTGGGTCACTAATGCCTTTTAGGGAAGGAAATTGCCATCCTTACCTAGTCTGGTCTACATGTGACTCCAGACCCACAGCAAAGTGGTTGACTCTCAACTGCCCTCTGGGCAATTAGGGATGGGCAATAAATGCTGCCTAGCCAGCGATGTCCTCATCCCATTAATGAATTTAAAAAAACCATGCATCTCTCCTGTAAACTGTTATACAGGGCTGACTGTGAGTCTAATGTTCAACCCACAGTGGCAATGATCAAACGACAGCCTCTTGGCCAATCATTCGTTCGCTGTGATTTTGACTTAGTACAGGCCTTCTCAAATTTGCACCCTTCAATGGGGCCGTGGGATTTCAGGATCGTGAGCTCTGTGGCAGCAATGGTAGCCATGGAGCTCGGACTCAAAGCTATTAGCTGTGAGGCCCCGTTAAATCCTCGCCGTTTGATTCCATAAGTGGATGTATGTGGTCTCATGCAAGGATCTTTCAGGTCTCACTGCTGCTGCAAAACATAAAAGCCAGTTAAAAAGGTCACGTGAAGCCTAACATATTACGCCAGGAAAGAGCTTGGGCATTTTTTAAAAGAGTCCAGTGGACAACCTTCTCTCCAACAACGGCATTGGAGGCTGAGGGGGTGGCCTTATGGAGGGGGAATGGATAGGGTGAAGAGACTCAGTCTTTTCCCTGGGGTGCGGGGTGTCCAAAACTAGAGGGGTACAGGTTTAAGGCGAGAGGGGAAAGATTTAAAAGGGACCTGAGGGGCAACTTTTTCATACAGAGGGTGGTGCCTGTATGGAATGAGCTGCCAGATGAAGTAAGAGAGGCTGGTACATTTAAAAGGCATCCGGATGGATATATTAATAGGAAGGGTTTAGAGGGATATGGACCAAATGCTGGCAAATGGGACTAAGTTAATTTAGGATATCTGGTCGGCATGGATGAGCTGGACAGAAGGGTCTGCTTCCATGGTGTACAGCTCTATGACTCTATAACTCTAAGAATTATTTAGCCAGAAGGAATCACAATAGACCCCCACCCTTCTCTGCTTAAAGCTTGGATCCTGCATTAGTAATCCAGAAGCTGAAAGTACAAATCGCAAAATAGCGACAGAACGTGCTGGAGAGAGTCGACAGCATTTACGCAGAGGGAAAACAGGGTCATACTTCAAGTCCAATACGATTCTTCATCAGATCGGAACGGGGCTGGATAAATGACGATTTTTATGTCATTGAGAAAGGGAGAGTAAGTGGAACAGATGGGAATGGTGCCCAGAGCAAAAGGGGGTGTTCATGGTACTAACAGCGGTGGTTCAAATCTCACACTAGGAAATTAAAGTGGAATATCACAGCAGAAACTTAACACTCGTCAGAGCATAAACAGAAATTGCTGGAAAAGCTCAGCAGGTCTGGCAGCATCTGGGGAACCTAGTCAGAACATATTGACTTGATTTGATTTATTACTGTGACATCTACAAAGGTACAGTGAAAAGTGTTGTGTCTTACGAGCTTTACAGGCAGATCATACTATACATATCAGTTTGTTTAATCAGTCTACTACCCATATCAACCCACTTCATCGACAGTATGTTACGACTGCAGTATCAACTAGATGTGCTGCACGGAGTTCACAATTTTATTTCATTGCACCTCACAAACATGGCCCCCACCACTAAAAATTAGCCAGTTCTACTTAGGTTCATTTAAGAGCAACAGCAGTGATTTCATAAGGATACCATCAGTTACTTTCAAGTTTACAACCACACTTGATGCTGACCTGAATGTGGATCGCTGTTCCTTCATGTTTGCTGGGTCAATAATCCAGAGCCATAGCCCTAACAGGATTGTACCAGCACACACTGCAGCAGCTCGAGGAGGAGGACAACCAGCTGTTTTTCTGGTCAAGTAGGAATGAGCAATAAAAGGGGTAGGCCAGCGAGTCCCATGGCATGGAAATAAAATTGAACTGCATTCAATTGAACACAATAATTTTGATATGTTGTGGACTGACAGATGGACAAAAATAAACTTGAGGACGATTGACTGACCTGATATCATTCAGGGAAGGGCACTTGCTCTCCATATCTGTGTTGCCTCCATGTGGCATTTAGCCCACGTTACGTGGCTGGCCGACACATATAATGCTCTCTGAATCAGTCTTACAAGCAAGTCAGGCAGGAGCGTTCCCTCCCAGTCAAGGAAAGGACATTCAGCCTCTGATCTTCAGGTAGGCGTCCGCGCAGGTGGTCTTCAAGATACACAACAACGCAGAATCGCCGGGCAGGTAGCAAAGTTCCATACCCATGAGGACAGCCTCAACCATGCTCTTGGGTTCATGTTGCGCTACATGTAACCCCACCATATCGTTCTGCGTAATAGCTTCCTTACTGTCCTGTTTTGACACCATCGCCTTGATAACCTGCAATTATCTCACTACCTTAATTAATTTGTACAGTTTTGGATTAATTGTTACATTGGCTAGTGACTCTTATGCCTATCATGTTATTCCAGCTGTGTAGTTTGTCTCTAGCACCACCTTATTTCTGATTTTTTGATAATATTAATCGGATCATAGGTCATCCCTTCACTTGTTATTCAGCTGTTGACACTTACACCATTTGACACTTTTATCACCTGCAGGCTTGCTATTCAGCCCTGTCGACACTCCACTCACTATTTGTACTTATCTTTTGACACTCTCAATTAGCTGGAGTTACTTAGCATCATCTCTCTGCATTAAAAAAGATGTACCTGTGTGCTTCCCTCCACTTCACCTGATGAAGGAGCAACACTCGAAAAGCTTGTGATTTCAAATAAACCTGTTGGACTATAACCTGGTGTTCTGCGGCTTCTTCCTTTCAGCAAATTGAAGGCAGTGGCGGCTATCGACTACTCAGAGCAGTAAGGGAAGGGTAACTGAAGACAGTGGGAATCAGAGGAAAAACTCTCAACATGCAGCATTCGTGTCTATCACAAAGAAAGATGGACACAGTTGTTGGACATCAGTTATCTCAGCTGTAGGACATCTATTCCAGGAGTTTCTCAGGTTAGTGTCCAAGACTGAACCATCTTCATCAATGACCTGTTTTAAATCATCAGGTCAGAGGTGAGGACGCTCGCTCATGATCAGTTCTATTTGTCGTTCCTGAACCAATGAAGGAGTCCACAACCTGGCTTGGTCTGACAGGAACAAGAGTAGGCCATTCAGCCAATAGACTCCATCCCACCATTCAATACAAACACTTTAATGTCTTTTACTCACGCCATCCCAGTAACCTTGCACATCAATAAATCGGAAATCTATCAATCTCTACCTGAAGCATAGTTAAACACTCATCCTCCACAGCCTTCTGTGGTACAGAGCTCTAAAGGTTCACAATCATTTCTCATTTCTCAATGGCACGCCCTTTATTTTTAAATTGTGGCCCCTGGCTTTAGACACTGGTGGAGGCAATGGCCTAGTGGTGTTATTGCTGGACTGTTAATCCAGGGACCCAGATAACGTTCTGGGGACCTGGGTTCAAATCCCACCACGGCAGATGGTGGAATTTGAATTCAATAAAATATCTGGAATTAAGAATCTAATGATGACCATGAATCCATTGTTGATTGTCGGGAAAAAATCTGCTTCAGTAATGTCCTTTAGGGAAGGAAACTGCCATCCTTACCCGGTCTGGTCTATATATGACTCCAGACCCAGAGCAAATGTGGTTGACTCTTACCTGTCCTCTGGGCAATTAGAGATGGGCAATAAATGCTGCCCTAGCCAGTGATACCTTCATCCTGTGAATGAATAAAGGTAAAAAAGCCTAAGCAGGGGAATACGCACTGTCCTGGCTGTCCCTTTTAAATATTTCAAATGTTTCAATGAGATCATCTCTCATTCTTCAAAACTCAAGAGATTATAAATCCAATTTGCCTAATCTCTCTCCATAAGGCAG